TCTTTTTTTGGCCTGTGCCCCTAAAATAAGGGCTTCTGATGTGAAAACTTCCTCTACTGATCTTAAGCATCTCCTCTGTAACTTACAGATCTAGGGAATTACCCAGAGCACTGAAAGGTCTGGTGACTTGTCTGAGGTCCAGAAGCCAGAACTTGAACCCAGAGCTTCTTAACTCCCAGGCTGGCTTTCTGTCCACTAAACCCCACTGCTTCTCGTACTAAGAATTAGTCAGTGTTTATACCATCCTCATTACTGGTACAGAACTGATTCATCTAAGTTTATGCAATAACTCACCTTAATCTGATAAGTATTAGTCTTATTCTACAGATAATTAAGCCCCTACTTAGAAATTTAAACATTTTGGCCACAGGGCTGGCAAATAGGAGACAGGATTTGAACCCAGTATAGGATTTTGACAGGTGGAGTTTGGGGGATGGGGTTTAGAGCCTGAAGGGACATCAAAGTTCATCTAGTCCAACATCTGCCTGAAACAGGAAATCCTCTATAATAATCCTGATGGGCTGCTCTCCAGCCTTCTGCTTAAATACGTCCAGCAGCGGGGTGCTCACTACTTCTCAAAGACAGCTTTCCTTGTTAGGAAGTTCTTCATTATATTTATACACATCTTATAACTGCTGCCATTTTGGTTCTGACCTCTGAAAGAAAGAAGGGAGAAAAGAAACAAGCATTTATTAAGTGTCTACTGTGTGCCAGGCACTGCGCTAAGCACTTTCCAAATATTATCTCATCTGACCTTCACAATATCCCTGGGAGATAGGTGCTGTTATTATCCTCATTTTGTAGTTGAGGAAACTAAGGCAGGCAACTTGTCCTGAGTCACTCAGCTAGGAAGTGTCTGAGGCCAGATGACTCCAGGCCCAGCAGAACATGCCTGATCCCTCTTTCACATGATGACCCTGAAGCTATTTGAAGACAGCAATTATGTTTCCCCTCATTTTCTTCCAGGCTAAACTTTTCTAGGCAGAGGGAAAATGTGTGGACATGAACAAAGGCTCGTAGCTGGGACAGCATGAACATGTTTAAAGATTGGAGAGTCTTCCTGACAGCTAGGACAGAGTCTCTGCAGCACTTTGGCTTCTGTTCTTGGCCCCTTGAGACATCTGCACCTTTCCCAGACCTGCATGTGACTGAGGCTCAGCCATGCGTGGGACCCTAGGCAGACATGCCTTGTCTGGTCCTCAGTCTCTTCATCTGCTCCATGGGATGATGACTTCTTATCTGAAGCTGCATCTCTTGAGCACCCACCCTTCTCTAGACTCTAAACTGAGTTCCTCGTACTTTATGAAGGAAGGCAGCCGTGAGCTGAGCAGTGGCTCAGTTACCGAGGCAGCGTGGAGGGATCTGGCCCTGCCCTTAGGGTGTGTACTAGGGGCAGAAGCTGCTTCCCTCCACCTCTGTTTGAAAATAGATTTGTATTGATATCTTTTGTCTGAGCTTGCCTTCACTTTCCCTCTGCGCTCCTCCCTCAAAACCAAGGATTTTTGTTTTGTTTTGCTTTTTGGTGAGGTGATTGGGTTAAGTGACTTGCCCAAGGTCACACACAGCTAGTAAGTGTTAAGTGTCTGAGGCTGCATTTGAACTCAGGTCCTCCTGACTCTAAGGCCAGAGCTCTATTCGCTGCGCCACCTAGCTGCCCCTCGAGGATTTTTTTTTTTAAAAAGGAGAAAACAATTTGGCAAATTGGACCACCATGTAAAAAACACCTCCTATCTAACCTCTACATATCTTATCTCTACATCGCATGTTGTCTTCCCCACTAGGTTGTGAGTGCCTTGAGGACAGGGAGGATTTTTCGCTTTCTTTGTATTCTCATTATTTGGCACAGTGCCTGGTGCATAAGAGAAACTCAATAAACCCTTGTTGATGGTGATAATGATTCTCATTCAAGCAGGGGATGCCCCTCCCTTAGACCCCGAGCCTTGGGTTCAGAAAGTGAAATCTGTAAGCCCATCCATTCTGCGCTTTCTCGCCAGGATCTGGCCGGTGGACTGGGGTAGGTCACACCTTCACTGGAGAGAGCCTTTCCAGGGTGATGCAGCCACACTCTGTCTACCCACGGCATAAATTATAGGCTTCACGGACCAGAAATCAAATCAGCCAGCCTCCCTTTAGCCCTGTACTCGGGAACAGCTGCTTCCGGGAACAGCGGTGGGGCAAGGAGGACAGCTCATGGGGCCAACGCCTTCCTCATCTCCTGGGTAATCACCACCTGTCACTGTAGCCTGCTGGGTGGGGTCCTTATCCCAAAGTAATTTACTGAGCAACAGAAAGGCTTCCAAAAACTCGGGTGCATAAGCTCCCTTGTGTCCTGCTGTAGCCTGGGGCCTCAGAATCACGAGCGTCATGGTCCGGGAGACCCTGGGTAGTATCTCAGAAGACCGGAGCTCATCCGCCGCCTCTGCTGCTCACCACCTGTGTGACCTTGGACAATGGAATTCCCCTCTTTGCACCCCAGATTCTAGGTGTTTCAAAATCCTGGTTATGCTACTTATGAACTGTATGTGGCCTTGACATCTAGCCCTCTGGGCCTCAGTCTTCTATTCGTGACAGGGTTGACTCTAGATTGTCTCCAAGCTCCTGCCTAGCTTTCCATCCTGCGGTTCAATGGAAATCCTGGGGAAGTTATTTTTGAGGGGTGGTGTTTATGGGGGACATTCCTCCTCTTCATTCTTGTTTTCACCTCCTTTTCTCACTTCTTCCCTGCTTGGAAAATCTTTTGGACTTAAAAGTAGAAAAGCAGAATATACCAGCCATAGAGGTAGAGGTAGAGAGATGATGTTTAAGTGGAAAGTAGAGAACAGTCAGTTTTAGTGGAAGGAGTTCTGGCTCAAGTCAAAGGCCCTGTGTTCAAGTTCTGGCTCTCAACCAAATGAATGACTTTGCTTAATGGTATAGGCAGCCCCAGTGACTGTAGCATTTTGGCCGTCCTCCATTTTCCTGCCTTTCACGGCACCTTCACTGGAGCACAGGGTCTCCCATCCCACAATCTACATGTGTGTCTGTCAGCTGTGGTTTCAAAATATTCATCCTGTGGCTTAGCTCTGGTTTTTCTTTTTCTTTTTAAGGACTGCCTAGTTCAGACACCTCCTCCCTTCAATTTATATTTGGTTGAAGTAAGTTTCCAAGGAGAGACTTCACACATGTAAGTTGAGAGCCTAATGCCAGAAGGTGCTGGGCTCAGTTCTAGCCCGGTAGCTTGAGGATCTCCCCCTCCCATGAGCCAGGAGCTCAGTTTCACCCAAGGCTTGGCCGAATCCACAATGGCCAAATGAGGCATCTCACTGGGTGTGCATGTGTTGAAGAACCCTAGACTCCTGGTCCATACATTAGAACATCTCTGGATCAGCAGAAGCACACAGCAGACTGAACAGTGCTTGTGTGGAGTTTCCAAAGAAAGGTTTTATTCTTACTATGCAGCACAATTTTTAATTCAGTTCAATTCCACCAAGATTTATCAAGTGCCTACTATATGCCAGGCCTAGCAGCCATACCTGGATTATAGTTGAGGTTCTAATTCACCTTCCTAGAAGATCACATCAATCTTGAAACATTCCTTCTAGGGACCCTCTGATCCTGGGGCTCCTCTCTCTCTGTCTGTTTGATTGGAGAGGGTGGAGCATGAGCATCTCTTCAGAGAACTCCTCCTAGATGCTTCATTTAAGGCAGCTACCTCATACTTTCTATTTATTTTTATTTTAAAATGCTTCTAGATGCTTCATTTAAGGCAGCTACCTCATACTTTCTATTTATTTTTATTTTAAAATGTTTCTAGATGCTTCATGTAAGGCAGCTACCTCATAATTTCTATTTATTTATTTTTATTTATTTATTTTTTGGGCAAGGCAATTGAGGTTAAGTGACTTGCCCAGAGTCACACAGCTAGTAAGTGTTATGTGCCTGAGGTCAGATTTGACCTCAGGTCCTCCTGATTCCAGGACTGGTGCTCTATCCACTGCACCACCTAGCTGCCCCTATTTATTTTTATTTTTGGAGGCAATTGGGGTTAAATGACTTGCCCAGGATCACACAGCTAGTAAGTGTCTGAAGCCAGATTTGAACTCATCCACTGTGCCACCAAGCTGCCCTACATTTGGTACATAATAGTTGCTTAATAAATATTTATTGACCAACAAAATTAGAGATTTGTTTGGCGGGTTTGGTACATGCAGAAAAACCATCTCCTTTCTGTGGACTATAAGCATTTTTTAAATTTATTTATAACATTCATTTAAAAAAATTTTTTTCATTTATTTCTTTAAATATTTCCCAATTACATATAAGAAATTTTTTAATATTCATTTTTGAAAATTTTGAATAACAAATTCTCTCCCTCCCCTGTCCCTCCCCTACCCCTTGAGAAGGCAAGCAATATATCGATTATACACAAGAAGTCATGCAAAACACATTTCCATATTAGCCATGTTGTAAAACAGCCACAACAATAAAAAGCAAGAAACATAAAAATAGTGGATAAAGTATGCTTCATTCTGTACTCAGAGGTCATTGGTTCTCTCCCTGGATGTGGGTAGCATTTTTTTTAAACATTGGTTTTTTGGAATTGTCTTAGATCATTGTCTTGGTCAGAGTAGCTAAGTCTTTCACAGTTGATCATCGTTACATTGTTGCTGTTACTGTGTACAATGTTCTCCTGGTTCTGCTCATTTCACTTTGCACCAGTTCATTTTAAGTCTTTCCAGGTTTTTCTGAAACCATCCCTCTTGTCATTTCTTATAGCACAATAGTATTCACAATCCTGCACCATAACTTGTTCACCTATTCCCCAACTGATGGGTATCCCCTCAATTTCCAATGCTTTGCCACCATGAAAAAAGCTGTTACAAATATTTTGTACACTTAGGTCCTTTTCCTTTTTCTTTGATCTCTTTGGGGTACAGACCTAGTAGTGATATTGCTGGGTCAAAGGGTATGCACAGTCTTTTAGGCCTTTGGGCATAGTTCCAAATTGTTTTCCAGACTGGTTGGACCAGTTCAACTGTGAACATTCTTTTTTTTTTAATTTTAATTTTAATTTTTCTATTTTTTTAACTGTGAACATTCTTGATCTGTATTCTTTTCATGGAGGTAATAATCTAAGTTTCTTCTAAAAGGAATAAATCTGTTTCTGAATCAAATAGCTGATCACTGTGGTGGGAGGAAGGAGAAGGGAATAGCACACAGTAGTATAAAAAGTTCTGGCTCCTATGAGCTGGTACTGTGAGCAGTAACATGGAACCTGGTTCTAAACCTTTTTTTTTTTTGGTGAGGCAATTGGGGTTAAGTGACTTGCCCAGAGTCACACAGCTAGTAAGTGTTATGGGAAATGTTATAGTAAGTGTTAAGGGAAGGGATGGTCATCCATGAAAACTCTGGTATTGTAGAATAGCATCATTCATGCTATTACTGCTACTTAGAAGACCTGTTGGTGGCCCTTCTGGCAGATTGTGGCATAATGGGCATAGATGCTGCCCCAAACATCATTTCTGCTTCCAATGGTGGCTCTAATATGGCTGTAGCCATGGTCATGCCAGAGCTTAATGGGAAGGTTAAAGGTAGCCTTCCATATTCTTATTCCCAATGTATTTGTGGTTGATCTGAACCGGAAAAACCTGCCATATAGAATGTTATCAAGAATGTGGTGTATCAGAGGGGCCCTTGAAGGGTACCTTGGGCTGTTCAGAAGACAACGTCAGGGCAGAACAGCCACTCTCTTCCCTTTGATGTCTGACTTGCTATTATCACCCTTCATGACCACTTTGTGAAGCTCATTTCCCACTATGACAATGAGTATGTTTATGGCAGCAGCTTGGTACACCTCATGGTCCTCAAGAAACAAACTAGAAAGCCACAGATCTTAGTTCCCAGCAAAAAGAGGAATCCCACCCCAGGGGAGTCCACATCCCTAACTCTTTACCCTGTACTGAGGATCACATGCCCCAAGGCAACCCCTGTAATAGAAGGGAGAAGCAGAGTTTCAAAAGAAAGCCAATGTTGTATTCAGTGCAAATAAAATAAGATACAAAGGATTACAGAAGGAAACCAATAGTGTTGAAATACAGTAATGAACAGATTAAAAAAAAAGATCCCAGGCCCTAGGTTGAGGACCCTTGGTGTCCAGGGTGTCTGTAAGCTTTCTTCTGTTGGGGGTTGGTGGGAGAGGAGGTTGGACTATGCCCTCCTAGGACCCTAACTCAGAGATCCTATGGTTTCTAAAACAATCGGGGCCAGAATGGAGCTCAAGAGGTTGGCCAACCTGTCACTCCACACCTCCTCTGTCTACAATCTCATTTGCAAATTGAATGGCATTGTCTGCCCCCTCATCTTTCAGGCCTTTGAAGAAATATCAAAGAGGCCAGTCTCATGACCCTCCTTCCTGAGGCAGGTGTGACATCCTGTGTTGTTGTTATCCCACTATGGGAGCAAATGAAAATGTGGGTGAGAAGCACTTTCCCGATGTGATACGATGTGGATGCTTTCATTTCTGAGATTATTAGTATTTATAGCCATTCAGAGTCTGAGCTAGCTTCTTGCATACACAGCTGATAAATGCATTGTGGACATTGTCTAGTCTCCCTACTTCAGAGAAGAGTTTGGTTGTGCAAGAAAGAAGCATAAGGATTGCTGTATATCACCTCCTCTCCAAAGCCCTGTACTCTGCCCCAAGAGACAATGTCAGAGCTGAGAGAGGCTTTAGAACAGAGAATGTCAGAGCTGGGAGAGCTTTAGAAAACAGAATCTCAGAGCTGGGAGGGACCTTAGAACACAGAATGTCAGAGTTGGGAGAAGCTTTAGAGCATGGAATGGTCAGAGTTAGAAGGGAGCTCAGAGAAAATCCAATTCAGTCCGTTCACAGAGGAAGACATTGAGACTCAGGGATCCCAAAATCCTCAATTTAGGGCTGGATGAGACATTAGAGGCCATGTAGTTCAACCTACTCCTTTTCTAGATAAAGAACTGAGGCCCAGAGGCTAAATGACTTGCCCAAGGTCACACAGGTAGTAAGGGAGTCAGGACTAGAACCCAGGTCCTTTGACTCCAAAAGCAGCCCTCCTTAAGGGCAGAGGCAGGCCCAGGACTAGTAGATGGTCAGGTCCCCTGAGTCTCTGAGTTCAGCACTCTTTCCAGGCCACCCTGCTGTACTTGGCCCTGGCTACCATCCGTTTGGACATGGATCGTTCCTCAAAAAGCCAGGTTGCTAAGTGCAAAGGCCTCTCATGCCTTTCCTGTGACCTTCTCCTGCTGAGAAGTCCTGCTCCCAGGGTAGGGTAGCCTCTTCCATTGAGGCTTCTTCTTAGGGATAATGCATGCAAGGCTTGGCCAATCTGCCTGCCACCAGGGAGTGGGGCCAGGACTCGGAATGGTTCTCTAGGGCTCATTCTCATTCCACTCAACACAAGGTCCAAATTAAGCCCTGTCAACTTTGTAGATAGACGACTGAAGCTTAGTAACACACCAAATTCAGTAAGGGACTTCCCATGGCCCAAACTAATTCACACATACCGAGAAGCTGGGAGAGGGAAATAAGAAAGAATAAGCCAGACACTCAGGGAAATGCTCAGTCTTTACCATCTCAAATTCTTCCTACCCTACGTTGGCACAAATGGGTTCAGTAGGAACAAGCAAGCAGTCGTAACATGGGGCTGGGCCTTTCCATCGGTTCTAAGCCTTGAATCAAAAGCATGAGTCAGGCTGGGTCTGTGAGCAAGCCACCTGCCTCCGGGCCGCTGCGGATGACAAGCAGTGGTAATTGAGTAATTGGTAGTTCAGAGAAAAGAATATAGAACACAAAAGCACTTCAGTAGGCTTGTCTTTAGAAATTTCCTTTTTTTCCTTCCTCTCTATTTTTTTTTTTTGGCATTAAGCAACATTAGAAAGACAGCTCTGTAGACTCCTGGGTGTTGTTTATCCACTTGGAGACAGAGTGAGAATATCCGTCAACCCTCGGCAGCCTCTCTGTAACACCTCCTTGGTGACTTCAGTGCTCCTGTGTGAGTCTAGAGTGAAATGCTCAGGGAAGAGTATTGTGTAGCCTGGAGCCTTTGTGTCGAGTAGAAAGAGACTTGAGTGGGCAGGCCAAAGTCCTGGGTTCAAATTCAAGCCCTCCCACTATTCTAGCCTATTCTGGGTGGCTTTGGGCAAGTGTCTTCTCTCCTCTGGACTTCTGTGAAAGGAGAGAATTGGAGTAGATTGTCTCTAACGTACCATTCAGCTTTAAAATCCTGATATAGTGAGGGGGGAGAGAGAATGCTGGGAGTTGTGGGACTGGGTTTGAGTTCTCGTATCTTGGGTGTGTTCCCTCACCTTTCTGGGCCTCAGCTTCCCCACTTGCAAAAGAGGGAGAAAATTGGATTAGATCATACCTAATGTCCTTTCAAGCTCTAAAGATCCTCATAATTCTAATCATTTAGTGGTTTTCTGGCTGGCATCTGGACACGTTTGTCCATCTCTGAGGCAGCACTATCTCCTAGGCACCAACAGAGGGCACCACATGGCTGTAGTCATCCCTGCATGAAGTGTTCTTCCCCATCCCCTTTTGTCTGAAGTTCCTGAATGATCTTGTTCTTGAGATTAAAATCAGAGTCACAGGGAATCCTTCTTTCTCCTGCTCCCAGCCTAGACTGGGAGCTGGGAACTCCTGTTTCCTCAGAGGACCATTTAGTCCATTTCTCTATGGTCAGAAAGGACAGTCTTCCATGACTTGCAAATGACCAACGCACACATATATATACATGTCCCTTCCCCTCTTTCTTTTATTTCCATGTAGCTCTAACATTAATAGGAATGATCAGAGATTTGTGATACAAATAGTATTTTACTATCTTGCCAAGACTTGTCCAATAATCCATCAAGGGAGCAGGCTGCTCCCTCAACGCTGGAAGTATTGATTACCTGCTAAAAATACAGTATATTGGAGTCTGGCTCTGTGGTTCCTCCGACTCCAGGATTTTATGATAATGTGCTAATCCAAATGAAAACACATACCTTTGAATAAAATTCCATTACAACAAAGTCATCTGGTCAGTCTGTGGAGGTTGGTTGTAGTGAGATGGAGCTCTTGTGAGCCAACAGCCCTAACTCCTCCACGGAGCTTCCAGGGGGAGGTCCTTGCCTGCCAGACAGCCTGAGAGCATCATGGAAATTAGGAGCCTTGAACTTGAAAGCAATTACTGGTGTCTGATCTGAGTATCCCCAAGGCTAAAAACATGGTCATTTGATGTAATCCCAGAGAGTTCCAGGGAGCCTGAATGTTTCCCTACTGTGTGTTTTGTCTCTTTGTACCTCCCCTGCACTTGGCACACAGTAGGTACTCAATAAATGTTTGTCCGGTTGGAGTGAGTTGCATAATAAAAAATGGCCTTCAAGAAATAGGGTTAGTGCATATTTAGAAAACAATGAACCAATTCAATTAGTTAATCTGCATTAACTAGGGAAACCCCGTCGGGATAGTGGGAAGAACATAGGATTGAGAGTTGGGAGACTTTGGTTCAAGTCCTGATTTGGTCTCTTACCTTGTTATGTTACTGTGGGAAATCACACTCCTTCCCTGAGCCTCAGTCTCCTCATCTGCAAAATGGGGATATCATTGATCCACTCCCTATAGCACAGGACTTTTGCAGGCTGTGAAATGCTCTCTATAGGAATGGGGCCATTATTATCTGCATCAAAGGTGCTAATTACATAAGGTGCATATGTTGGGTCTGTTATTGCTTATCTAGCAAATCATCAGTAAGATGAGGGGTTTGGGCTTTCGGCTCTGGAGCTCTGATCCTTTGAGAGATGATTCTCTGACAGTGAATCCTGCCATGAGCCCCCTGTTCTCCTCCTAGAAGCCAGAGGGGCGTGACTATCTGAGCATCTAGAGGTGGTCTGTTGCCATGTGCCCAGTGGCAGCTAAGGTTGCTAAATCAGTGGAGATCTGCCAAATGAAGAATCGTCCTCACTGTCTAGGGGCTAAATACTTATGGCGCAGACCACACACCCAAGAGCTCACGAATCCCAGCAGCTCCCCACCCCCCATCCCATGCTATTGGGCTTTCACAGCTAATGGCCTGCAGTCAACAGAATCCTCTGGAGTGTTTCCGGCCCCTTCAGAAAGCCATCCATCTATCCGGAAGCAGGGAGGTTTGTGCTATTTATTGATGGGCAGAAGGTTCCCTGATGTGGGTGCTCTGGGCAGCCGGCCTGAAGACCAGTGATGGGGCTTCTCCATGAGCTGCAGGTCCCTTGGAGGGGTCTCAGTGACAGCCACAGGATTTCACCACCATATTCCGATGTTTCTTCAGAATGACATTGTTGCTGGTATCATAATAAAGGACCGAGGTGGCGCTCAGCTTGGTGGGAGCACAGCAGGCCTTGGGGACACTGTCGGGCTTCATCAGGTGCACCTATGGGGGCAAAGGATTCAGCAAGCTTGGCCTTCCTGGGAGGAGCTGCTCAGCATGCTCCCAGCGGGCCAGAAGTCACTCAGTGAAGGAGGAAATTAAGGGAAGCAGGATATTTTCCCCCCAAACAAATCCATTTTTGTTTTCGTATCGCTTACATTTCCCAATCTCTCTCCCTCCCAGAGACACATCTGTTATAACAAAGATAAAATAAAAGGGGGGAAGGGAGAGGAAACTCAGCAAAATGAGTCAACACATGGAAAAAGTTGTATGTGATATGTAGTGTTTCAGACCCGTGGACCCCCACTTCTGCAAAAAAGCAGGGAGTGGTGTCTTCTCATGCCTCTTCTCTGGGGCCAAGCTCAGTCCCTGTCATTTCACAGCATTCATAGCCCACTCTTTTCTTGTTCTTCTTCTCTTTATTGGCATTGTTTTAGTCATTGTGTTTACTGTCTCCCTGGCTCTGTGGTGAGCACAAGGTTTTCAGGTTTTTTTAAAAATACTTCTTAAATGTGGGAAGACTTATATGAACTGACTCAGGGTGAAGTAAGCAACACCAGCAGAACAAGACAAACACAGACTATGACCATGTCCATGGAAAGTACAATGACAAAAAAAATATCAAAATTTACTTCTTCAATCAGAAACTTTTTTTTTAAAAAGAAGATAACTCTCTGTCTAGTAGATAGTAGATTCAAGGGCAGTTAGGTGGTGCCATAGTTCACAGAGCACCAGGCTTGGAGTCAGGAAGACTCTATCTGTGAATTCAAATCTGACCTCAGACACTTACTAGCTATGTGACCCTGGGCAAATCACCTCACCCTGCCTGCCTCATTTCTTCGTCTGTAAAAGGAGCTGGAGAAAGAAATGGCAAAACACCCCTGTATCTTCACCAAGAAAATCCCAAATGGGGTCAAGAGGAGACGGACATCACTGAGCAGCAATAAAAGAGAGTAGACCCCGGGCTGGAAGGGATTATTTTACAGATGAGAGAACTGAGGCTTTGAGAAGTTCAGCATTTTGCCTGAGGTCACATCAGCAGTAAGTGCCAAAGGTGGGTTTTAAACCCACCCACGCAGCTCCTCGGCCTCTAAAGCCTGTGCTCTGTGTAGTTATAACGACCAAGCTTAGTTCCCCCCAAAGACATCTAAGGATCTGCTTCATTCCCATCTTTGCAGAGGTTAGGACCAGGGCTGTAAACTCTGCATACATAGTCAGACTTCACTAATGTGTTGGTTAACACTGAACTCTACTTTCTCCCCTTTCTTATTCATTGTCACAAAGGATGACTGTCTAAGAGGGATAGATTAGGAACTGAGGGCGATCTAAACCAAAGATGTCGATAAAACATTTTTGAAACCTGATACTTTTTTTTTCTTAAAAAGACCCATAAGGGACAGCTAGGTGGTGCAGTGGATAGAGCACTGGCCCTGGATTCAGGAGGACCTGAGGTCAAATCTGGCTTCAGACACTTGACACTTACTAGCTGTGTGACCCTGGGCAAGTCACTTAACCCCAATTGCCTCAGCAAAAAGAAATGCTTGCTACAGCAATCATACAAGGAAAATAAATTGAGGGAATGATCATAAGTAAAGAATACACAAACAACAACAAAAAAAAAGACCCATAATCTCAGCAGTTTGAGGACTCCCATCATCAATGCAGACCCTAGCCCAACTTAGATAGTTTCAAGTGCTGCCTTGGCCAAATGAATTGCTCCTCTGGGTGACCAGGAAGTTGACCTCTTGGTGGCTAACCAAGTTGGGCCCTAAATGACCTCACTAGGCCCATCCTCAAAGCCCTGCCAGCACTGTACAGAGCCTGCTGTCTGCTAAATGACAGTAATAAGGACAGTTAAGGGACATTAAAGAATGGGGATTCCCTCAAACTATTCAGGGCCTTTGTGGTCACGAACTTTTACATCCATTTATCTAACTGGATCTTTACAGAGCCTGAGTGGGAGACAAGAGAGGGCTTATTAGGCACATTTCACAGAAGAAGAGACTGAGGCTCAGAGAGGGGGAATGCCCTGCCCAAAGTCACGCAGGTCACAACTGACCCAGCCCAAACATGAACTCAGGTGTCCTGATTGTAAGTCTAGTCAGTGATCTTTCCACTACACCCTAAACCAGTACTTTCCTTAAAAAAGACTCTGGTTGAATGAGTAGATTATTTTCAGCCTTCATGAAAATATTTATTCTAAACTCCTGGCAGGCCGGGCTGCAGTTTACATTGGAACCCTTCTCACGGTGGTGGCGGCAGTGGCAGGCGGTGCCCCTTCTGTGGGCAGACTAAGGCCTCTCTGCCCCTCGACCATCCGCCAGGCCCTGGCCCCATCAGGAAAGGGCCAGGTGAGGGGAGGTAACCTTACTCCAGCTAGATATGAGGCCTGCTCTTAGGGCCAAGGGCCCCACAAGGTCAGCCTGATGGCGGCATTTGCTATTTGATGCTGCAGCTCTTGTTGAGGGAATGACCTTCCCTCTGCTCCGAGCTGGCCTCAGCCCTGTGAATATTCCACTAACTCAGCGGCCTGGCAAGTCCCACTGCTGGACAGACCAGATGGGTGACTGCCGCAAACACTGAACTTGCCCAAGACCCACAGGGACGAGGGGGAAATCCACTTGGTCTGAGAGGCTGGTGCCTGTCCAGAGTAGGGCTGGCTCAGGGTGTGAGGAGCCTGCTTCCTTCTTTCTGGCCTCAGACAATTTGTTGTTGTAGCTCAGTCATTTTCAGTCGTGACTGACTCTTCATGACCCCATTTGGGATGTTCTGGGCAAAGATACTGGAGTGGTTTGTTGTTTCCTTCTCCAGCTCATCTTACAGATGAGGAAACTGAGGCAAACAGGGCGAAGTGACTTGGCCAGCATCACCCGGTTAGGCCAGATTTGAACTCATGAAGTTGAGTGTAACTGGCCACTCTATACACTATGGTGCCACCTAGAGGCCTTGGACAACTAGATCTCATCAATGCTGCAATCAGGGCACAATGTGTATGAATCTAGCAAAGTCACATCTCCTGTCTGGGCTTCCATTTCCTCATCTGTAAAATGAGGGGTTTGCTCTCAGTGGCCTCAGAGGTCCTTTCCAGCTCTAAATCAATGCTGCCAAACCGACCTCTGGGCCTCTGTGTTCATCTCAGATCAGCCACTGCTGGGGCATCTTCAGAGAGCTTGGAGTGAGTCTCCCCTCTCCTTTCCCCCACAAATATGTGTGGTAGGTTAGTTTGTCTCAGGAGAATGAGGAAGAGAAACATTGCTTCATGCTATGAAACAAGATGGCTTCATCCCCACCATCTACTCTCTACTGCTTTTTATGTGGTCTTCACCTATTAGGATGTAAGCTCTCTGAAAGCAAGGACTCTTTTTGCTTATATTTGTATCCTGAGTGCCTGGCATAGAGCAAAAACTTAATAAATGCTCCCTTCTTCCTTTCTCTTTCTTTCTCTTTCTTGCTTTCTTTCTTTCTTTCTCTCTTTCCTCCTCCCTCCCTTTCTGCTCTCCCTCCCTTACCTTCCTTCCTTCCCTCCTTTCTTCCTTCCTTCGTACCACATTGAAAAGGTTGCCAGAGAAGTACTTATAGGACTCAGGTCATGCTGGTTGAATGTGACTTGGAGTCAGGAATTCTGGCTGTGCCTTTTCCTAGCTGAGTGATCTTAGGAAAATTACTTCTTCTCTCCTCAGTTTCCTCATCTGAAAAATGGGGATAATAATACTTTCACTACCTACCTCACACAACTGGTTGTAAGGACTAAATTAAATAATGCTTGTAAAGTGCTTTGTAAGTGCAAGTTGCTTATTATTAAAATCTATCAAAACTCAGTTGAAGTCAGCAAGTTTGCAGAGTCAAGAAGCTGCCAGAGAGTACTATTTTAGAAACTCTCACACCAAGGCTGTTAAGTAAAAAGGACTAATTCACTTGGATTAATTCTATAAGATTTCTTGTAACACTGCTGTGGTGAGCCTGTCTCTCTTTTACTTTCCTCCCTTATTTGCAATGTCATTTTAACCTGAATCAGGACTTGAAGCCAAAAGAGTGAGAAAACCTTTCTGCAGAGCAGCCGGGCTCACTGGGAGCTGAAAGGCAGGTACTGACCAGGGACTGCAGGATGGCGTGGTTGGTGGCATTCATGCAGGAGTCCAGTGGGAAGGCACACTCCCCCTCACAGTAATAGGCAGAGTACCCTTGAGGTGCAATGACCCAGTCCTAGAGAGAGAGAAAACTTCCATTCAGCCAGTCACCCACCCAGCCACCCATCCGCCCACTCTGACCACATCAGAACAAGTCACCTACTTGGAACCGAACACTGTTCTCTCTCTCGCACAGTGTGAGCTGCCAACCTGCCTTCTCTGGTCCTAATATATAACGCTATCTCCTGTCTCTGTTGTGCCAATGCCTGGCATGAGCCTGGAATGTGCTCTTGTCCCCTCTGCCTCTCAGAATCTCTCTTCTGTCAAGAAATAGCACAGGCCCCACCTCTTGCTTGGAGCCTTTCCTGATCCCCTCCCTAAACCACCTGGGATTTAACTACTGTGTATTTATTCTTATATTCATATACACTCATATGCACTTGTTTTCTCTCCCATCAGAATACAAGCTTGCCAGTAAGGACTGTTTCAATCTTTGTACTCCTGTCCCCAGGTTTAACACAGTGTCTGGGACACGGTGGGTGTTTAATACGTGCTTGCTGATTGGCTGGCTTCTATGAGAGAAGCCGAGAGCACAGTCCCACATATTGGTTCACAATTGGGATCTGCAGGCCTCCAGCAAGAGGATGTGGTACTGAACCCCAGGGGCAGACACGGCTGACTTACATCCTGAAGGGTTTGAAAGAAACTTGTCTTGAATTCAAATTTAAAACAATTCCCTATATCATTAAACAACAACTCAAACCCCCAAACAACCTTTCCTTGATAACAACACTGTGGTACTCTATATGTACACAGCAGGTGTTTAATAAATGCATGCTGGCATGGAATGGATTCTGGTAAGAACTAGGGGTAGTCAAAGCCCAGGAACGTGAGGCTGTGATGGAAAGACATCCTTCCACTTGCACTGGGTAGGCCTGTCCCAAAGTTGAATGTGAACTTTTCTCTGACTAGGTAGAAGGAGGTGTCCTCATTCACTCCCCATTGGAATAACTAGATGCATACAAAGGCTCACCATTCTTAGGAACTGAGAAGGCAGAATGGCATGACATGAACATGGAGAGTGAGGAAACACTTTCCTCCTGGGGCTTTCCTGCCTCTGCACTTGTGCTCCCATATGCCTGGGAAGTCAAGGGATTTTGACACCAAAATGAAGTCATATCTCACGGACCAATCCTGGGAGGGATTTGACTCTGTGCAACTCAGAAAGCATTAAATAGGTGTCTACTGTATCCTGGGCACTGTACTTGGAGTGTAATACTGTGGGAAACGCAATAGATTTAAAGTTAGTAGACATGGGTTCAAATCCCTGCTCTGCCACTTGGGCTCCCTGTGAACTTTGGGGCATAGCAATTCTCTCTGGGCCTCGGTTTCCTTATTTGTAAAAGGATGAGTTGGATTTGATGACCTCTAGGTTCACTTCAGATCCAAACTTAGGCTCCTATGACAAAAATAAAAGTCTCTTCTCTCAAAGAGCTTACATCCTACTGGGTGTGGGGCAGACATTGCATACCAGATAAGGAAATCAATCTCTCTCTCTCTCTCTCTCTCTCTCTCTCTCTCTCTCTCTCTCTTTCCATCTCCCTTACCTCTCTCTGTCTCTTTCTGTTTCTCCCTTTCTCTTCCCCTCTCCTCTTTCTATTTCTTTCTTCCTCTTTTTCTCTTTCCTTCTCCTTCTCTTTTTCTTTCTCTCTCTCCTCCATATCTCTCTCATTCTGTCTCTCTCTTTCTCTCCCCCTCTTGTCTATTTCTCCTTTCTCCTTCTCTCTCTCTCCCCCCCATATCTCTCTTATTCTCTCTTTCTGTCTCTCTCTCCCTCTTCTCTATTTGTCTCTTCTTCCTTTTCTTTTTCATTCTCTCTTTCCCTCTCTCCTCTCTCTCTCTCTCTCTCTCTCTCTCTCTCTCTCTCTCTCTCTCTCTCTCTCTCTCTTTCTCTCTCTCTGTTTCTCTCTCTCTCATAACTTGATTGGAGCTCCTAACATAAAGACACTCTGCGTCTCTGAATGCTCCTACCACATGAGTGGGAACAGTCTCTGTGTCAGTTGGCATACCCAGAAGGGGCTGCGTCCTTAAAACTCCCAGTCTGAGACAATCTCACCCTTTTTTCCTGAAGAGTTTTCCTTCTCCCTTCTCTTTTATCCTAGGAATATCATAGGTGCTTAATAAATGCTTGCTTTCTTCCAACTTCCAACTTTCTTCCAATCTTGCTCTACACATGTATCGTCTTTTGAATATCATGTTTTTCTTGCTAAGCTCCAGTCTTTTAAGATATTTTTTGCACAAAACAAGGGGTTTTGAGTGGCAAAGCTCTCTCATCTCTCTTTCTAGATGAAGTACACTCAAGAGCTGCTCAGACCATGAGGCTATAACCAGGGGCAATGTTGGTTTGCTAGACCTTAACTGAAGGCCAAATATTTTGGATGAAATCAATAGCCTCTTGAGGGTAGAACTGGCAACAAACATATAAACTGACAGCAACTTCAAAGGGAGCATTTATGCCACAAAACAAGCAGCCTGAGAGCATGTTGCTATTAATTCAATTCAATCCAGACTTTAGAAGGTGCAGGTACAGAGCATACAAAGATGAAACTTTTCCCCAGTCCCTGGCTTTAAGGAGTTGAAAAAGGAATGGGAAGGCTATGGCTCATGCACCAATAAGCATGGTACGAAGCAGAATCCACTGGGGACAAAAAAAAGATTCAAAGTGCAGAAGAATGTCCAGAGGGAGAGATCATATGTAGCTGGAGCTGGGGAGGGAATCAAGGAAGGCTTCATGGAAGAGATGCCACCTGAGCCATATCTTGAAGAAAGGGAAGGATTTCAGAAATGAGATGAGGAGGATGTATGCTCCAGGCATACAGGCTAGGCTACACCAACATATGGACATGAGAAAGGGCAGAGCTGGAAGGAAACAATTAGTCTGGTCTGGCTAGAACCTAGAATGCTTGAAAAAAAAGCTTGAAATAAGTGAAATAAGCCTGGAAAAGCAGATTGAAGATAGATCATGGCAAACCTTAAATGTCTGGTTTGGGTGTTTGTATTTTATCCTCGAGAAAATAGTGAGTCACAGAAAGTTTTTGAGCAGGGAAGATCCACGGATAAGGGAGATTATTTTGGCAGCTGGTGAGGATTGGAGAGTGGGAGAGACTAGAGGCAGGGACACAGTGCTGGGAAGCTATTACAACAGTAATGAGTGTGAGGTTATCAAGGCCTGAACAAAGGTGGTGTCAATATTAATGCCTTGTTATTAAGGAGGGAAGATAGGGGAAGTAAGCAAGGAAGGGCTATGCTCCCTAGGCCATAGCCCCAAAGGCTCAGGGGAAGAGGTCTTCAAGCATAAAGGTCAAGGTAGTCCTTGAAGGTCACTGCCTAGGCTGGAGTAAATCATGGCTCCTAGGAGAGTATTCTTAGGTACTCCTGATCAAGGACCCTTATCTTAATAACCCTTACCCAAATTTACATCCTTAGAATGGTGGCAATGCCAAAGGAGAAGCGCCCTGGACTAGAAGTCAGGAGACATAAATCCTGGTCCTTGTTCCGCCACTCCTTTGTTTTGTGACCGTGTGAAAATCATGCCCCCTCCCTGGGACTCAGTTTCCCTACCCATAAAATGATGGGGTTGGACTAGATCTAGACTTCCCAACCACCAATCCATAGACTGGTGTTGCCCCCAATCAATCAGTCAACAAGTATTTCTTAAGTGTTTACTCTGTGATAGGCCAAGTGCTGGGGATATGAAGAAAAGCACAAATGGTCCCAAAGAGGCTTACATTGTGGTGGGGGAGACAATATGTAAAGAAACAGGTACATAGGAGATATAGATATAATAGAAGAAAGGTAACCCTGGCTTAGAGGAATGGCTAACAGCAGGGAAATAACAGCAAATTTTCTCCCATGTTAACTTTTACTACCAAAAGCTCCTCATTTCTTAAAAACTTATATACTCATAACAGACTCCTCTTCTTTCTTGCCTCCTGTTCCTGTCTCTCCCTGTCTGCCCAGAGCCTGGTCCCTGTCCCTGAGGCAGGCAGAGCTCCCTTGCAGGGACTTCAGAGTGTGGAGCTGTCCGTGGTAGGTCATGAGCTGTTTTGTTTGCGCTGGAGGATCATTAAGGACCACTCCATCTCCAACTCCCTGGGAAGGTCTCAACACCTCTCTCCCAGGGCACCCTGGAAAGCCTCCCTTTAAGTGGCCACACTAGCCCCCAGAAAATTGCTTTATTCATACAAAATACTTCCTTGTGCCTCACACCCATGTTGGAATAGTCAGTGAGAGCAGAGAACATTCTGACACCTTGTATATACAATTTTTAAAAAAGGATTTCTTAATGAAGAAATGAAATAGGAAATTACCAGCCAACCCAGGTCCTGAAAGCTAACGTAGAGCTCATGCCTCCTGCAAACCTGTCTGCCCTCGGTGGCATGGATGTCATCTGGAGGAAGAGAAGGGTAAATATCTTTTCTAGAATACTGTTGGTCAGAGATAGTTCAACAGGTGTACGACCTCCCAGGGCAGTGGGGGGGGGAGTGTGGCATGGTAGAGAGAGCATTTTGACCCTGGGTTAAGTCATTTAACTTCTCTATGTTTTAATTTTCCCATCTGAAAATTGGAAGGATAATACTTTACTACTAACCTCATGGGGTTGTTATGAAGAAAGAGCTTTATAAGCCTTGAAGTCTTATTTAAATGTGAATGGTTATAATTATTTCATCAGGTTGATGAATAAGTCACTAAAAGTTATGAAATTATTAAAACATTGAAAAACTTGGCATGGTTGCTCTCTAGGACTACTGAGAGGCAGCCAGCTGGGGCAAATGGGACATTGCTCTTAGAATCAGGAGACCTCAATTCTATTGTTGGTTCTGTCACATATCAGCTGTGTGACACTGAGCAAATAATTCAATGTCTCTGTGCCTCAGTTTCCTCATCTCTAAAATGGGGCTAATGACACATTTGCTATTTTTCTGTCAGGATGGTCCTGAGGATCAAATAAGATACTAAATATAAAGTTCACTGAGACTTTAAGGCAATGTTGAAGCACCTGCACCATTTTTTTTTATTACTACTGGGACTTGGTTCTGCCCGGAGCATCCCTATTCCACCTCTTCTCTGAATGATGGGGATTTGGAAACTAGTCCTTGGCTCTCCTGCCATACTCTATGATCTGCAAATAAGGATTTGCCACATCTCTAACTTGTATTTGGAGACTTTCATTTCCTGCCTCTTACCAAAGATCCCTGGGAGTTTGTTTGGGTGGGGGAGGTCGTTGCTTTTTTTCGGCTGCCTTTTCTTTAGCTGCTTGAGTGCCCGAGGAGCTCGGATGGGATTTTGATTCGCCCTGAAAAAAGTGACCATAAAAGGTTGTTTGGAGCGTGGCCCCTGCCGACCCAGCAGTCCAGCTAATCCAGGATCGATGCTTCGCCCTGAGATATACAGGAAAGAAAACACATTTGTTTACTGAGGGCATGGATTCATATCCGATGATCACAGCAGATTCCCTAGGGATGCCAAATGGCTGATGAACCAGGGCCATACCCACCACTAAAACCGCAACCAGTCACCGAGACTTCACTGAGCCTTCCATCAAAATCTCTCATGGATACATGCCCCCTCCTCTATTTCCATGGCCACCAGCTTTTTCTGTTACCCTCCTGGACTACCTCAACAACCTCCTAACCAGCCTTCCTGACCTCCATCTGTCCCCCTGCAATCCATCCTGCACAGGCTGTAAGATTCATCCTTCCTTTTTTTTTTTTTTTTTGCACAGGGCTTTCATTTTTTTTCAGTTCTAAATTCTCTCTCTTTCTACCTCCCCCATACCTATTGAGAAGATAAGAAAAACAAATCCATTACAAATATGTATAGTTATACAAGACAAATTTCCACATTAGCTATGTTTAAGAAGGAAAGAAGGAAGGAAGGAAGGAAGGAAGGAAGGAAGGAAGGAAGGAAGGAAGGAAGGATGGAAGGAAGGAAGGAAGAGAGAAAGAGAAAAAGAAAGAAGAAAAATATGCTTCAATCCGTACTCTGAGTCCATCAATTCTCTATCTGGAGGTGGGTAGCATGTTTCATCACAAGTCCTTTGGACTTGGTCATCGTGTTGATCAGAGTTACTAAGTCTTTAAAAGTTGATTATCTTTACAATATTGCTGTTACTATACAGATTATTCTCTGGGTTCTGCTCACTTCATTTGGCATTAATTTATACAGGTTTTTCCAGGTTTTTCTGAAGTCATTCCCTTCGTCATTTCTTACAGTACAATAGTTTTCCTTTACATTCATATATCACAACTTGTTCAGCCATTCCCCAATTAATGGGCATCCCCTCAGTTTAAAATTCTTTTCCACCACAAAAGGAGCTGCTATAAATATTTTGTACCTGTCTTCTTTCTTTGATCTACTGGGGGTATAGACTTAGTAATAGTAATGCTGGGCCAAAGGGTAGGCACAATTTAATAGCTTTTTGTCCAGAATTTCAATTGCTTTCCAGAATGGTTGGACTAGTTCACAGATCTACCAACAATGTACCAGTTTCCCCACATCCCTCCAGCATTTTTCATTTTCCTTTTTTGTCATCCTAGCCAAAGTGATGGGTGTTAAGTAAGGTGGTACCTCAGAGTTGTTTTCATTTCCATTTTTCTAATTATTTGTGATTCAGAGCATTTTTTTCTATGGCTATTGACAGCTTTCACTTCTTCCCTTGAAAACTGATTGTTCATATATTTTGACCATTTATAATTGGGAAATAACTATTATTCTTGTAGTTTTGACTCAGTTCTCTATATATTTTAGAAATGAGACCTTTTTGAGGGAAATCTGCTGCAAAGAATTTTCTCCTGGTTTCCTGCTTTTCTTTTTCTTTTAGATGCATTGGTTTTGTTTGTTGCAAACTTTTTAATTTAATGTAATCAAAAATCATCCATTTTATCTCTCATAAATCTCTCTATTGTTTGATCATAAACTCTTCCTCTATCCAAAGATATGACAAGTAATTTCTTCCCTGTTTCACTCATTTGCTTATGACATCACCCTTTATATTCAAATATTGCACCCATTTTGAGCTTATCTTGATATACATTATGAGATGTTGATCTATGCTTAGTTTCTGCCAGACTGTTTTCTAGTTTTCTCAACAAATTATTTTTGTCAAATAGTGAAATCTTTCCCCAATAGCTGGGATCTTTGCTTCTGAACAATGTGTACCAAATTTTTCCCCCTAATCAACCTCTCTATTTCTTACCCAATACCAAATTGTTTTGATGATTACAGCTTTGTAGTATAGTTTGGGATCTGTTATTGCCAGTTCCCTTTCCATTTTTTTTATTGATTCCCTTGATATTCTTGACCATCTGTTCCTCCAGATGAATTTTGTTATTTTTTTCTAGCTCTATAAAATAACTTATTGGGGAGTTTAATTGGTATGGCACTGAATAAGTAAAATAATTTAGGCTGTATTGTTATTTTTGTATTATTGGTGTGGCCTACTCAGGAACAATTAATATTTCTCCAATGACTTAGATCTGTTTTCATATATGTGAAATATGTTTTATAATTGTGTTTATATAGTTCCTGTGTGTGTCTTGGCAGGTAGACTCTTACATATTTTGTACTGTCTGCAGTTATTTTAAATGGATTTTCTCTTTCTACCTTTTCCTGATGGGTCTTGTTGGTAATATGCAGAAATGCAGATGATTTGTGTGGGTTTAAGTTACATACTGCAACTTTGCTGGAGTTAATTGTTTCGGCTAGTTTTTAGTTGACTCTCTAGGGTTCTCTAAGTTAACCATGACAGCCTCTGCAAAAAGTGAGCTTTGTTTCCTCATTGCCCTCACTTATTCCTTCAATTTCTTTTTCTTAATGCTATAGCTAGTGTTACTAGTAAAATACCCATCTTACTAGAAAGGCTTTTAGCTTATCCACATTACAAATAATGCTTGCCCTTGGTTCGAGATAGATGCTACTTATCATTTTAAGAAACGCTCCATTTATACTTGTGCTTTCAAATGTTGGGTTTTTTTTTTTCAACAGGAATGGGTATTGTATTTTGCCAAAAGCTTTTTCTGCCTCTGTTGAAAAAGCATATGAAATCATATGATTTTTGTTATTGATGTAGTTAGTTATGCTTATAGTTTTCTTAATACTGAACCAGCTCCTACATTCCTGGTATAAATCCAGCCAGGTCATAGTGTATGTATGATCTTTAAGATATTATTGTAATGTCCTTGCTAGCATTTTATTTAAATTTTTTGCATCAATATTCATTAAGATAATTGGTCTATTGTTTTTCCCTTTGTTTTGATTTTCCCTGACTTAGGTATTAAGGCTATATTTGTATCATAGAAGGAATTTGGTAAAACTCTTTATTTTTTTGAACAGTTTATGTGGCATTGGAATTAATCATTCTTTAAATATTTAGTAGAATTCACTTGTAAATCCATCTGGTCCTAGTTTTTTTTCCCCCTTAGGGAACTCATTTATGGCTTATTCAATTTCTTTTTCTAAGATAGGTTTACTTAAACATTCTATTTCCTGCTCTGTTAATCTGGCAGTGTATATTTTTATAGATATTTATCCCTTTTATTTAGATTGTCAGTTTATTGGCATATAGTTGGGCCAAATAGCTCCTAATAATTGCTTTTATTTCTTCTTCATTGGTTATGAATTCACCTTTTTCATTTTTAAGATTGGTAATTTGGTTTTCTTCTTTAAAAAAAAACACCTCAAATTGGCCAATAGTTCACCTATTTTATTGTTGTTGTTTTTTAAAACAGCTTCCAGTTTTATCTATTAGTTTAATTTTTAAGAATTTCAGTTTTGTTAATCTCTCCTTTGACTTTTAGGATTTCTATTTAGTGTTTAATTGGAGTTTTAAAATTTGATATTTTTCTAAGTTGTTTTTTTGTTGTATATCCAGTTCATTGATCTATTCTCTCTCTGTCTCTGTCTGTCTGTCTGCCTATCTGTTTCTCTCTCTCTCTCTCTCTCTCTCAATGTAAACATTTAGGGATAGAAATTTTCCCTTAAGTACTGCTTTGGCTGTATCCCACAAATTTTGGTATGTTTCTCATTGTTGTGATTATCTTTAACGAAATTTTTTATTGTTTCTATGATTTGTTCTTTGACCCTTTCATTCTTTAGGACTAGGGCTCTCTTTCTGTCCCAATGCTCCCTGCCCTGGTGTTCAGTCTTAGCCCCCTTACCATCTCTGGACACTAGAAGGCTCCCAAGCTGCACTCCTGGCCAGCTTTTGTTTCAGTGTCTTTCGTTTCAATCAGACTTCTATGTCTACCTTCCTAAGCTGTCCTGTGTGGAAAAAATGACTCACTGTGACTTAGATTTCCTGATCAAAATTTGGTCTAGTGCATTTTTTAGGTTTTTGTGGAGGAAGTGTGCTGGGTGAAATGGGAAGAAATCCTGACTCTTACTACATCATCTTGACTCAAGATTCATTCTTCCAATGCATAGATCTCATTATATCACTTTATATGCTCTGCCTAAAATTCAGAACAGTATGGCATTCAAAGCCCTTCACAATCTAGCCCCACCATTTCTATCCAATCTATATCCCAGCACAGAATCATGGTGTCAGAACTGGAAGGGACCTTAGAGGGCATCTAATCCAACCCATTCCTAAACAACACTCTTGACAACTTGAAGCCTCCACTTGAAAACCTTCAGTAATGAGGAACTCACCACCATTTTTGAATGGCTCTTGATTAATCAGAAATTCTTCTCCATGTTGAACTCCCTGTAACTTCTACTCATTGGTCCAAGTTCTGACCCTGGGGGGGGGGAGGGTAGTCAAGCATAACAAGTCTAGACCCACTTCTATGTGACAACCCTCCAGATACTAAGAAACGACTGTCACGTTCCTCCAAGGCTACTCGCTAGGCTAAACATCACTAATTCTTTCAACTGGTTTCCTGTTTTCTTGCCATTCTGATCATTTTCCTCTGTACCTGCTCTATCTTGTCAATACCTCTTCGAAAAGGTGGTGCTGCAAGCTGTATACAATATTCTATACATGGTCTCACCAAGGCAGACTGCATGATCATCATTTCTTTTGTTCTGAATGTTGAGTTTCTATGAATGCAGTTTAAGATCACATTAACGGCTCATGTTGACCTTACATTCTCCTAGGACACTCAGCTCTTTTTCACATAGGTAGCTAGGTGGTAAAGTGAATGGAGTGCTGGACTTGGAATCAGGAAGACCTCAGTTCAAATCCTATCTTGGATACTTCCTAGCTGCACCACCCTGGGCAAGTCACTTACTTTGTCACTTCCCTCCTTAATTTCCTCATCTGCATAATGGGGATAATAATAGCATCTGCCTTACAGGGTTGTTGTGAGGATCAAGTGATATGACATTTGTAGAGCCCTATATCAAAGTTAGCTATTATTATTCACATGAATTTTCACCTAGCTATGCTGAGCCCAAGTGCTGATCTTTGCATCTATCCCTGAGAAATGCCAAGAATGAGCCCCATTTGCCTGTGATCTGTTATACATACCTTATCAGTTCATGTCTCTGCAGCTTTGCTCTGGCTGATCCTCCTTCATCTATTTCTCACTTCCTACAGGTTAAAGTCTAAACTCCTTAGCCTGGTATTTGAGGCTATTCAGAATTTGGGCCTAACTTCCTTTTCCAGTCTTATTTCTCATTCTTCCCCTATGCTTCTAGTTATACTAGGATACTGACTTTTCTCCTAACATCTCGCACACGCTCCCACAATCGTACCTGGACGCGCTGCCCCTTCTTACTCAAGATGCCTGCCTCTGCCTCTCCGCCTAAGGAAAGTCATCATGCTATAGTACAAGGCTTCTTAAACTTTTTTTCCACTTGTAACCCCTTTTCTTGTTTTGGCAGCATTGGTTGGCATTGTGGGGCCTGAGGGCACTTGAGGTGAAAAGTGCACATGCTTTGTGTTCAGAGCCAAGGCTGCAGTGAAGCTGAATGATGCAACACGGGCAAGTGCTGCCAGAAACACCTCAGATTCATTCCGAGTTTGATTTTTAATTAATTTTTGGTCATTGCATGTTCAGAAACCTTTTATTGTTGCCAAAATTTTCACCATCCCCTATAGGGCCGTGACCCACAGTTTAAGAAGTGCTGGAATAGAAGGCACACAAGGTTTAGAGCCAGGAGTCTTGGGTTCCAATTCTAGCTCTAAGACTTAACTAGCTGTGAAGAAGTTACTCTGCAAGACTCAGTTTCCCCATTTTTAAAATGGGGATGACAACACCTACAGTACTGACTTCACAGGGTTTTGAGGAAAGTGTCTGTAAGCTTTAATGTGCTATGTTATTATTGTTGTTGTTGCTAAATAATAACTGCTATTGAAATAGCATTTTAAAGTTTATACATCGTATCTTACTATTAAAATGCAGCTCCAATGTGCACAAGTTTTTAATATGCAATGTGCTCTGTGCATAGGTGTAGCACAAGACTGGATTCATAACAGGAATAAAATATGAACTAGGGACGACCTTGGTCCTGACTCTGCTACTAATTCATGCAGAGACTTTGGGTAAGTTCCTTTCTCTAACTAGACCTGAGTTTCCTCCTTTGTACAACAAAAGGGTAGGTCCCTTCCAGTTCCCAACATTCTATGCCATTCCAGTTACTAGATGAGTTAATGGAATAGTAAAATATTACTACTAATAATATTAATAGTAATGACAGCTGATCCATCCAGAGCTTCAAAGTTTGCAAGTTATTTTGCATACATTATCTCACTAGATCAAGATTTAAGTGGAGCCGGCAACAAAACATATGGGAATGGAAAAATTGGGTTAATTTTCATCTGAGTTGAAACAGTAAGTAATTTAAATGCATAAGATCTAGGTTCAAACTCTGGCTTGTCCACTTACTAAATGGATGACCTTGGTTATAAGTTACTTAGTTTTTTCTGCGTCTCAGTTTATAAGACCGTATTAATGGCTCATGTTGATCCTGTATTCCCCTAGGCCACCCAGATTTTTTTTTTGTGAGGCAATTGGGGTTAAGTGACTTACCCAGAGTCACACAACTAGTGAGTGTTATGTGACTGAGACTAGATCTGAACTCATCCTCCTGATGCCAGGGCTGGTGCTCTATCCGCTGTGCCACTTAGCTGCCCAACCCAGATCTTTTTTATACACACTATTCACTTAGATTAGTGGTTCTTAAACTTTTTAGTTTTGATTGACTTGCACGTTTGTAATAGGTTCTGTTTTTCTCATGTTCTCCACTGGTGGCCGGGGGGATTGCAAGGGTTTCAAAGGATGAATCTTGTCTGATTAAAACAAATAAAATATTTTTTAAAAAATTAAAATTACTTAGGCTCTCCCAAAGAACTTTTGTTTATTAATATAAATATTTATCCTATGAGAAATGAAAACATCTTAATATGATGATGATGATGATGATAAAAATAGTTTTGACCTTGCAGACCCCCAAAAAGGTCTCAGTGGTCCCCCAGTAGTCCCTGGACCACACGTTGAGAACTGCTGCCCTAGATGAGTATAGCCACCTGTTTCTACTGTGTCCCTTTCCAAACCATTCTTCACACCGCTGCCTGAGTAATCTTCCTAACGAACCTCTATGATCATGATCTATGATCATGTCCATTCAAAAACCATCAGCACCTCCCCAATGCTTGAGCAGAAATACAAAGTTTCAATCGCAGTATTCAAGGGTTTCCACAAGCTGGCTTCAATTTCCCATTCTAGTTATATATCATAATGTTACTCTTTGTGTATTATTATTACTGTTGCTACTACTACTACTAACTCAGATTTCTATAGTACTTTTGTATCACTTTTTTTTTTAAACAAAGTACTTTATTCATGACAATAGTCAGAGGTAGGCATTACAGGTATTATTATCTTCAGCTTAAAGATTTGGAAATCGAGGCTCCAAAAGATGTCACGATTTGCCCAGGGTCCCACAACTAGTTAGTGTCAGAGTCAGGATTCCACCCTCCTGTCAAATGGATTCCTTCATCCCCAGCTCTTATCTTGACCACTCCTATATCCTTATCTTTGCTCACACTCTCTCTCTTCCCAACTCTACCTTCTGATCTCTCTATATTCCTTCAAGGATCACAAGATCAGATCAGTCCAACCTCTTTATTTTACAGAGAAACTGGGGTCCACAGAGGTTAAATGACTTGTCCAATATTACACATGCAGTAAGTGACAGATTTGATATTCAAACCCAGGTCCTTTAATTCCCAACTCACTGCACTGTTGGCTTTCGGCCTCAGTTTCAACCAGCTACTTTCTCTAGGAGTGGCCCCTAGAAGGCCCATTCTCATCACAAATCCCTGCTACGGTGTCTCCAACAAATTGTTATCCAGTCTCTGCCCAATGACCTCAAGTGAGAGAGAACCCATTACTTCCTGAGGCAAATCAAGCTACTTTTGGACCACTCTCATTGTAAGTAAAGTTATTCATGCCCTTCCCCCCCATTACTGGCTCTTTGACAGCAGGGTGCCATATGCATTTTGCATTTCCAGTGCCTAGCACAGTTTTTTTGCGCACACTGGATACTTTATAGATGCTTTGATGAATTGAGTTCAATTAAGGCAAAGCTGTTTCACCTCCTTACTGGTTGGTGCTTAGGTTAAGCCAGCTCAGCATTTCCAGGGATTCAGAAGTGGCCTGAGACATCTCCCAACCTCGTTCAGGACCAGCCAAGCTAGAGTGGACCCCGGCCGGTTGGCCAACCCAGCTGTAGATGTTCCCAAGACACAAAGTATCATTGGTCACTAGCTCGGGCTCAGTTTCTGCCCTTTAAGCCAGCTTTTTAAAAGATCAGTCATAAAAGACCAAGGCCTCCAGGCCTTTCCCCACTGGCAAAGAGAGGCCAATTCCAGTTACACTTCTGGGAATGAGAGCTACCTTTCTGGCAGGCACAGCAGGAACTCCACCCTGAATTCTCAGTCGTCTTTTCTAGACTGGGTGGCTCAATACACCCCAGAGTTTGTGGGCCTGCATGGAACTGCTCCTAAGCCCATCCTGGGCAAGCTGATGTAATAGAAAGAGCACTAGTGATCTGGGAGTCAGAAGGGCAGAGTTCAAGCTCTGATTCTGTCATTCTTGCTGTGTGACCTTGGGCAAGTCTCTTTCCATCTCTGGGTCTGTTTCCTTATTTCTAAAATGAAGGGATTGGATTAGATGGTCTCTCTCGAAGGGAACTTTCCACTCTGACATTCTGTGATTTTATGATGGTGCTATAGTAGATAGAGAGGTGGCCTCAGAGCCGGAAAGACCTGGATTCAAGTCTCACCTTTAACACATATTGGCTGTGTGACCCTGGACAAGTCACTTAAACTCTCAACTGTTCTTAAACTCTCTAAGTTTCAGCCAAGATGTCAACCTGCATTGATAGGAGTTCCCTCACCTGGGAATTTCCTATAAGAATGAAATCACAGGTCCATTCGCTATGCCCTATGATAATTTGAACAATTTCTCAGGTTCGCATTACTCCCCCACCCCCAATCTATTTCACAGAGCCGGTATACAAAATCCGCAGGGCAGAGGTCTAGTCTATGTAAAGCACTACATTGGGCTGGGCTGGGTCATGAGCTTCCTGAAAAGTTCAAAACCAGGCTCTGAATATACTAATGTCCCTGGTCCGTCCCCCCCTCCCCTTGCAGTGGGTCCAGAGCCCAATATACATTCATCTCCCAGGTGGTCACCTCCAAAGCAAACCTCTCAGATGGGCAGCCCAATAGGGGTCTTACCGTCCTCGGTTTCCACATAAAGACGAAGTCCAAGGTGACTTTTACGATTTAATAGCCAGTGATTGCTGGCAGCTGTGACATCAAAAACCAGCCAGCCCTCATTCCCAGCCTGGACGGTCTGCAGGTCTAGTAAGAATAAGTCGGATTCCCTGTGGAAATAGAAGAAAACCGGCCAGGTCAGATCAAAGGTGACTCAAGAACTACCTATCTGGGTATCAGGACCATGGAGAGTCCAAACTCCATCCCCATTTCCCAACACCGAATAACTGTGGAAAGGTTCCCTCAAGCTTGTCTTTATTTTGTCTGGGAGATGTCTTTACTTTCCAGAGGATGATGTGCTTTCAGATGCCAGAGCGCCCACTCTGGTATTTTAAAACCACCCTTGATGCATTCTTACAAGGTCTTTTTTGAAGTTACCCTGCTGACTTTCTCTTACAATGTCAGCATGGTGGACCAAGGGCTGGATTTGGAAACAGGGCAACCTGGCCTCAAGTCCTGCTGCCTGAAATACACCTGCTAGGTGACCCCAGGAAAGTCACTCCATCTCTGTGGGCTTCAGTTTCCTCCTCTTTAAAATGAGGATAATAAAACACTTGTAGTACTCACCTCACAGGGTTGTATGAGGCTCCAATGAGATAAGCTATGGCATAAACTACAAAGCACCACATAAAGGGCTAGTGTTAGAAGCCTCTAGGAGGCACAGTGCTGGGCCTGGAGTCATTTAGACTTGAGTTCAAATCTGGACTCAGACACTAGCTGTGTGATCCTGAACAAGTCACTTAATAACCTCTGTGTGCCTCAGTTTCCTCACTTGTAAAATGGGGATAATAATAGCACCTACTTCATAAAGTTATTGTGAGGATCAAACGAGATAATATTTGCCAAAAGTGCTTAGCTTAGTGTCTGGCACATAAATGGATATTCCCTTCCTCTCTTTCCTATTATTGTTGCTGTTACCTCGCCATGTCGTGAGGGCACCTGTGGGTTCTGAGAAGCCATCCCATGCCAGCAGAGTAATATTAATGTGGCACTTTAAGGATGACAAAGCGTTTTATATATGCCCTGTGACATGGTCATCCTGCCTCTGCTTAGAGCCCTCCAAAGAGGGGGACCCCACCCCCTCCTGAGGCAGTCCATTCCACCTTTGCCAGCTTTCGTTACTAAGAAGTTTGTCCCCAACATCAAGCCTCAATTTGCCTCTCTGCAGCTCCTGGTTGTGCCCTTTGTAGCCAGACAAAACAAATCTAATCCCTCCTGGTGGAAATAAAGGGTCCGCACCTGTTTGATTGCTCTGTGACGATCTCATGTATGCTGATGTGGAGGGTCTTGTTGAGGTGTTGAGTGAAACTCCTCATCTTATAGATCCGGAACTCAGCGGCTGTGACACATTCCCCTGAAGGAATCTGGGTCAAGTCGAATCTAAACTCCTTCCAGTAGGGCTCCTGGTAGAATAGATCCCGGTCATGCTCAACTGGAAAAGAAAGTTGGGAGAGGGGGGTGTGTGGAAAAAAAAGATGTTGATGCAAAAGACCATGTATACTCCCACCAGGACTCCCAATTGCCTACGGGACCAAGGCTGCACTCCTCTCCCTGGCATCCAAGGCTCTCTGTGAACTACAGTACCTTTGCAGCCTTTTCCTATACCACTGCCCTTCTTCCCATGAGCCATGAGCCAGCTCAGCTGGAAAGATTTGCCCTCTGTCCCTTGAAATACTCTCCACCATTATGTTCTTACTCATGTAAGAACCCTCTGCCAGGAATGCCTTCCTATTACCCCTTCCCCTTCATCTGCTGAAATCCTGATCATATTTTAAAGCCCACCCTGCTCAAAACCTGACTCCTAGGAAGCCTCTGTCAATCTTGACAAGCAAAGACCCTCCCCTGTTCCAGATTACACTTTTATCAGGTATCATTCTGTGTTACAGTTCTTGGTACAAGTCTCCTATCCCTCACTCGGTTTGAAGCTCTTTAGGGGCAGCTAGTAAAGAGATCACTGGGCCTGGAGTCAGGGAGACTTGAATTCAAATCTAGCCTTAGACACTTGAAAGCTGCATGACCTTGGGCCAGTTACTTAAGCTCTGTCTGCCTCTGTTTCCTCAACTGTAAAATGAGGATAAAACAGAACCTACCCCTTGGGGTTGTGAGAATCAAATGAGATAATATTTGCAAAGTGTTGAGCACAGTGCCTAGCACTTACTAGTTAGTGCTTAATAAATGCTTATTTCTCCTCCCCCTTGCATCTCCCCAGAGTCTTGCATACAGTTGGCATTTAATAAATTTGTTAAACAAATAAATAACAATAAACTAGCATTTTATTGTGTTTTAAGGTTTGCAAAGCACTTTACATCTATTATCTCACTGAATCCTCACAACAGCCCTGCAAGGTAGGTGCTATTATAATCCCATTTTACAGACAAGAAAACTGAGTCTGAGAGATTAAATGAATCACCCAGTGTCACATAGCTATTAATTAACTGAGGTAAGATTCAAACTCAGATCTTCCTGATCCCAAGTCCAATACTCTCTTTGCTGTGCCACCTAGCTAATTAAACTGGCAGAGGAGAGTCAGTGAGTATGAATTAGATCATCTATATTCTTCCCCCTAATCTTGTATGTATCTCAAGGCCCTGTCCTAGGCCAGCTCCTCTTTTCTCTCTATGCTGATGCCCTTGGTGACTCCCAGATCCATATATCCAGCCCTAGTCTCTCTCCCGAGCTCCAGTCCCATGTCACCTACTGCCTACTGGACATCTCCACCTAGATACCTCATGGGCATCTGAAACTAAAATGTCCAAAACAGAACTTGTGATCTTCCCTCTTGGGTTCTGCCAATGGTACCACCATCTTCCCAGTCACTCACATTCATGACCTCAAAATCATTCTCTTCCTTACCTCTCATACCCAATCAGTTGCAGAGTATTGTCATTTCTACATCCATACCATCTCTTGCATTTGCCCCCTTCACTTTACCTATGTGTCTACCATTGCCCAAATGATCTTCCAACCCCATTTACTCTAACTACAATCACCAACCATTCCATCTGCTGATTTTCAACCTGAACCAGCCACTGGAGGAATAGTCTTGCCACCTGGGCAAAGATCATGTATCTGATCAGGGACCCAAACATCAGAACTCTCTCTCCAGTGACCAGCGACACCCCTCTTGCAATCAAAACTTGTTCTCAGCAAAGGGCATGATAAACTCACTCACAAGGCAGACTAAATCACTGAAGGGGGCTTAAAGAGGGATCTCTGGGGGACTGGAACTCATATTTTAATAAGAGACTAAACATAAGCCAAAACAATGAATGTTAGTGGGTGAACCTGGGCATCAGGAGCTCTGAGGAGGCATTTTTTTTTAAAGGAGGCCCAGGGCCCCTGACATCACAGTGATAGGCAGCTGGACAAACTACTGCATGGACAGACAGCAAACCTGCCAATTTTATAAATAATAGTTGTAAAACACTTAGCACAGTGCCTGGCACATAGTAGGAGCTTAATAAATGCTTGTTTTCTCCCTCCTCCACCCAAATGAGCTGTCTGTTTATTTTTAGACTTCCATTCTGGAAACCAGCACTAAACAGCCCTCTCTCCACAGGCAAATGAAAGCGGAGCCTACAAAATTTTCCAAATTTTGAAGGGAAAAGCACTATTTTGAATTATCTGGATAAAGCAGTGAGATGAAAAAGGCTGAAGCTGAAGGCAAGAGAGATAAGGCCATAGGACTGTGAGCTAGGAAGGACCTTAGAGATCCCCTTATTTTACACATGGGGAAACTGAAGCCCAGAGAATTTGTAATTCCTTTATTTCTTTTCCCTCACATGACTATTCAAAAAAACCCTTTGTGACAAACATACATGATAAAAAAAAGTGCTGATAGCTAGAAATCTCTTCACCTATGTTAGCCCACTGAATGGTCCAGCAAAGCAGTGGCTCTCATTGGCCAAGTCCAAGAACATCTGGCTCCTTCGTCACCTCTCTGGTGGAAGTGGGGGAGGGGAAGGGCTTCATCATCCTGTTACATGACTTGTCTAAGGGCATGGAGCAAGTCAATGGCAGAGGCAGGATTTGAACCCACTACTGTCTCTAAACCCCACAAATTCTCTAAATCCTAAGGCTTTTTCTCCCGTAAGTGAGAATCCTGGCTCTGGCAGCACTAGTCAAACAATCCTGAGCAAGTCACTTCTCCCTATGAGCCTCCATTTCCTCATTCATCTCAACTCAGTTCAGCTCAGCAAACATTTAAGTCCCAACTGCTGGAGACACACCCTTGAGGAGATTCCAATCTCAGAGAATCTTGGTCCAAGGAGCCCCTTCCTCGCTCACAGTGGGAGTGAGGATCAGAAGAGATGCCAAAGGACAAGTCATAAGAGAATAATATTAAGGACAGAATAACGGAGAGCTAGAGGAATCATTGAGTCTAACTCCTTTATTTACAGATAAGGAAACTGAGGCACATAAAAGTCAAGTGGCATTCACCAGGTCACATACCTAATAAGTGTCCAAGGCAGGATTTGAACTCACGTTTTCTAAGGCTTTCTCTATGACTATCTAAATCCACGTACCTCTTTTCTGACTTGTGGTATTGCATCTCCAGCTGACCCTTGGATATCTTAAATCCAACATGTTCATTATTTTTTCCTCTCCTATCTTTTCCCTATCTTCATAGCTTTTCTATTACTGTCAAGGAGACCACCATTCTCTCAGATTCCCACAACCTAGATGTCTCCCTTGATTCCTCACTCCCTCTTACTCTACGTGGCCAGTCTGTGGCCAAGTCCTGTGGTTTCTCCCTCAGCCAAGTCTCTGCTATAAGCCCCCTTCTGTTCTCTGACACTGCTCCCACCCTGGTCCCACCTGGACTATACTATACTAGCTGCTGGTGGGCCCGCTTGCCTCAAATCTCTCCTGACTCTGGGCCATCCCCCCACTCAGCCACCAAAGTGATTTTCCTAAAGCAAAGGCCATCCTGTATCACCCTCTCTTCAAGCAACTCCAGCAGCTCCCTGTTGCCTCCAGGATCAAACACAGAATCTTCAGTTTGGCTTTTCAAGCCCCCCCATAAGCTGTACTCAGCCATCACTCCATCTCTCAGCTCTGGGCATTTTCTCTGGCTGTTCCCTACGCCTGAAACTCTCCCTCTTCATTCCCACCTCCTGGCTTCTTTCCAGCCCATTACAATCCCATCTTTCTGTAAGAAGCCCTTCCTGGTCCCCCTTAGTGTCTTCCCTCAGCTGATTACCTCCAACTTAGACTGTATATTCCTTGTTTGCATGTTGTCTCTCCTGTTATACTCTGAGCTCCGTGAGAGCAGGGACTATTTTTGTCCTTTTTTTCCCCCCACCAGTAATTAGCACAGTACTTGGCACATAGCAGCCCTTAACAGATGCCTACTGAAATGACTTAATGGATCAGGACTGTCAGAGCCCTCCCCTCCACTGGCCAGAGTGGGCTCTCTAGTTGCAGGAAATCTGGGAGCGCTGCAAACCAAATGCTTCCCAACAGGGCGTGATTGGGACAGTGCATCCCTGAAACCGAATACTGAGATTTAATGAGGAGCCTGTGTGTCTTTAAAAAAAAAAAGCCACCGCATCCCTCTGGCCTTAGGGCTCACTCGCCACAAGCCCATTTTTAAAAAAGCCTCAGGTTGGCTGGCTGGGGGCGGATGCGGGGAGCACTTCCTGCCCTCGCGGTGTGGGCCTGGCACCCAGGCTGGACAGCTGGGCTGGGGGAGGATGGGACAGGATGCTGGAGGGGGAGAGTTGTGGGGGACTGATATTTTCATCTTGCCATATGACAGAGAAAAAAACAACTCATCCTGGTGACATCTGTAGGCTTGCTGCAAACCCATTAGCTGGCCTTGGCTTTTAGGGGCCCCACCACCACTCATCCAGGTCTCCCACGTCAGGGAGGTAGTTACAAAGTGAGAGTATCCAGGGCAAAAATATCACTCCTACTGCCATGGAACTTTTGGCTCCCCAACCCAAACTGGAAAAGGGACAATTAAAGAATGACTTCTGTGGTTTAAGCATCATGGTGCTAGCTGAAGGGATAGGGCCCCTCAAAGCCCTTTGCTGAGCTCTGGGTACTGTGCTTAAAGACAGGGCCCAGCCTGGAGCGGACACAGAATCTGGGTCGCTGCAAGGAGGAGCAGGTGAGGTTTGTGCTTGAGATGTCCACAGGGGTGGGGGGAAGAACCATTACTTTGGTTTCCTGAAGCCTTCCTTAAAGTATAGAATGTCAGGGCTCAGGGGGACCTTAGAACATAGGGGTAGCTTGGTGGTGCAGTGGCTAGAGCACTGGCCCTAGAGGCAGTAGGACCTGAGTCCAAATCCAGCCTCAGACACTAGCTGTGTAATCCTGGGTAAGTCACTTAACCCCAATTGCTTCCCCCCAAAAGAGAACACAGAATGTCAGAACTGGAAGAAGCCTTAGAATGTAGAATATCACAGCTGGAACTCGGGGTATCCA